TCACCATACCATCGCTCAATCGACAGGCCAACTCCCTCTCGGCACTGTCTCAAGGCCCGTAGCCCCTGGCTACGTCCGAACACTCACTTCTAGGGGGAGAAGAGAAGGACTCATCTCACTATCTAGTTTAAGCGAAACCCAGGAAAGGTCCATAGCCGACAAGTCGACATATGTATCGATCGATCAACCATACACTCTGCAGAGGTTTTACATAACCACAAGATCTGCCTTCCTCGCTGACCGTCGTCAACCGGGCTAATTTTGGCCGCTTGCTCGCCTAGGATAATGCCACTCTACCATTCAGCCCTGGTACACCCCAAGTCCGGTCTGGGGTGGCTGAAACTGTGAGTCATGAGCCGGGTCCACAAGGTCTCCATGAAGTCTCGGAAGGGTGTGGGGGAAATCCTCTGCACCCCGTACCTTCCTCACACTGTCCGCTATCAACCTAGCAGTAGTGGCAATATCCTACCAAGTAGTCCGGCCGTCCCGCACCATATAGGGCGAGTGGTACGTAAGGCTTCCCGGTGAATCTGAGTACTAGTAAGTTCTTAGGGATGACCAAGCCAGAATGTCTCTATCAGGGTTTCCATTTACCGTGCCACCATAGCACCCCCACCCTGGGCTCCTCCCATCACAGGTTCACACCCAGGGCCACCTCATATACCATTTACCCACCACATGTATCCATTCCAGGGGTGCCTAGGTAGCACCCCACGGCAAGACTTGCCCCAGGCTCGTCGTATACTCCAACTTGGTCGACACAACCCTCATCCTCCACGCACCCAAGTCACACACGCAGCACTCTCCCCATAGTTCAATTATCACCAGTTTCCAACACGCATCAATGTAGTGTAAGCATAGTAAAAGTAATAAGCATTGGAATATAATAGCAAGCGTGTTACTAGCCTAACCATAGGGTGAGCAGGGGTAAGGTTGCGTCAAGGTAAAGGCCATCAAAAAAGCATACTACCATGCAAGTCGTACCATAGTGTGATCATAACAACAAAGTAAAGCACTAGCATTTCTATTTTAGCCATGCGTAATAGGTGCTACGAGATTGGGTGGGATGTGGCACCTTCAGTGTAGTCGTCTCCATACTCCTCACGGTACTCACGATTCTCGTCCATCCGGTTCTCCTCTGAGTCTGCAAACGATCGCATTATTGTCGCGTTAGCGACGTCTATAGAATAGCACAAATAAAGCAAAGAAAATTCAAAAGAGCCAAATGCACTCAAACATGGGTTCATTGCGTAGAGCTCGATTTTAGATGAATTTTGGTTCTGATTTCATATTTTTCTGAGGTCGTATGAATTAGTTATGATTTTTCGAAGTTTAAATCATTCCTGAAAATAGAAAAGGCTGATTTAATCCTGGGCTGACACGTGTCACGCTGTGGTTGGTCCACGTGGCTTGCTGACGTCAGCATGACGTCAGCATCACGGTTCCGAGCTGACAGGTGGGGTCCAGCTGACGTCAGCATGACGTCATCAACGTCATCCTTACCGACAGGTGGGGCCAGAGGCTATTGAGTCACTGACAGGTGGGTCCGGTCACGGTCAACGATGAGTCAATGGTCAACGGTCAGGGTCACTGACGTGTGGGTCCAGGGCTGCTGACGTCAGCAGCTGATGGCAGCGTGATGTCAGCATGATGTCACCTTGGCTGCGCTGGCTTCTTACATGTGGGTCCCGCGTGATGTCATCATGACGTCAGCATTTGACGTGTGGGCCTAGAGTGTCTGTGCCACTGCCATATGGGGCCAGGTCAATGGTCAACGTTGACCGGTCAACGGTCAATACGGGCTAGGTCCGAACTGGGCTCTGGTGGGCTCGGGTTGGGCCGGTCTGGGCCGGGCCGACCCGGACACGTGGCACGCTACGACGCTGCCACGTCACGGCCGTGGGCCTTTTTTGGGCTTTGTCCACAGCGCGGCTCACACTGTGTGGCTCACGGTGGACCAGCGCTCATGGTCCATGGACCTACGATGGGGCGCATGGTGGACCAAGTCCACCGTCTCTTCTCCTTGGCTCGGCCACGTGCACCGAGTTTACGCACGGGTGGCCGGTGAGGGAGGAAGCCCTCTGTTTCTCCCGCGGTGGTGCCCCCGCCGGCGGCGAGCTCGCTGTGAGCCCCTGCGGTGGCGCTGGTGTCCGATTGGAGAGGGGAAAAGCTTCCCCGGGCCACGGCAATCATGATCCTGAGGTCTAAGTGGTGGTCGAGGTCCTCCAGTGCGTTGGCCACGGCGGCTGGTGGCTCGGCAGTGCTCGTCGGTGGCGAGGTCGCGCACGCAGGCCCACCAGTGGCTAGTGCTAGGCAGATGAGGCTTCTACGGTTTCGTGGGTGCATGGCGAAGGCGTCCAGGGCTCACGGTGAGGCTATGGGTTCCTAGGTGGCCGGTAGAGACATCCCGGCGGCCACGGTGACGGTGACGACAGCGAGGCGCGCGGGTGATCTATGGGGCTCTAGCGGGGTAGTCACGGCATGGTTGCGGTTGTGCGCGTGGTGCGTGTGTTCCTAGTGGCCGGAGGCAAGGCACTGGCCTACGCGCTCTAGGTGTGGAGCGCCATGGCCGACGGTGAGGTTCGGCGGCAGAGAGAGACCGGAAGGGGGCTCACCGTGGGTGGCATGGAAGAATGGATGGTGATGCCGTGTCGATTCGAGGTCGTGTAGCTCCGGAAGTCGTGTAGTGCCGTGCCGAACTGCGTCGGTGATGTAGACGATGGCGTCGCTCTCGGCTCCGGCGATCTCCTCCCCTACAACGGCTTTGGCATTTCCCCCTCCTCTTCCTGTTCCCCCTCTTCTTTCTTGGCTCGGTGTGCTGTGGTCGGCCACCGAGGTGGCGGCGGGCGATGGAAGGCGCTAGGGCTCTCGGTCGAGGCTCTTATAGCCGAGCGGGGATCGGCGGTTGGGGATTCAAGGGCGATCGGGGCGCGAGCTTGCATGCAACGACCGCGAGGGGTTGCGTGGCGCGGCGCAAGGGGGGGGCAAGGCCATGCCCCGGGCGTGACCCCCTGGCCCGCTCCCTGCCAATGCTGTCGGTGTTCTGTCGGAGGGGAGAATCGGCGTGGGCGTGGAGAAGATGAACAGGGAAAAGGCTGACGAGTGGGGTCCGTTGGCAGCGGCTGCGGGCGAAGGAAAGAGGGGCGCGTGGGTGAACAGCGCGCGGCTGACGCGCGGGGCCAAGTGGCAGCGACCGCAAGCGAGCTGAGGGCGCGCGGGCGTCGCTGGGCCGCAAGCTGGGCTGTTGTGCGCGAGTTGGGGCCGGCCTGCTACTGCGCGCGCGTGGGCCAGCGGAGAGGAGATGTGAAGGGCTGGGCCGGTAGTTGGTTGCGCGTGTTGGGCCGAGCAGCTGGCTGGGAGGCCTTCTTCTTCTTTTCTTTTTTATGTTTTTCATTTCTTTTCCATTTGTTTAAATTCAAATTTGGTTTATTACTTTAAAGGGGTTGTTAGGCATTACATGAAACAATGAAAATCCAACTCACATTTTAAGTTAACAATGTAAGCAACACTTTTGTTAGAAATTAAATATTCATAATCAACAAATGACATGCTATGCTTATGTGATGACTTGGGTTGGGTTACTTCTAATGCAACTTTTAGGTTGGGTTTCTATACATGACACTCATCATCACATGGGATTTTTAAGAAATTTTTTTTGTAATTGGTATTTTTGGTGTGTGGATTTCTGGGTTGTTACAGCTATGGCAGGAGAGAGGCGAAGAAGATAGAGTTCAAGTTGGATGAGTGACAATAGATAGGGCTGAGGACCTATATATAAGAGAAGTCCAAAGGCTCAGTTGGCACCAACAACCCTGCCTTAGGCGCCAACATCACAGCCTTTGGCACCAAAACTCCCGACCTAGGGCTGGCCTGGGAATGGCATAGAAACAAAGCAACTGGTTCACAGAGCCTCTCAAGCCTAAGGTCATTTAAGTCATTTGGTTGCCCCGTTACCCACCGTTAGGAGCAAAATTTGACGAAATGGCGTGTTAGATAAAAGAGTTTAGCGGCATGGCACCAGGGTCCATTTGAACTTTTTAGTGATCTGAAGGAATAGAGCATCTTTAATAATGGGAGAAAAGGCTCATTCAAGTTCGATACGAGCAGCTAAAAAAACTTCAAAAGATTTGCATGAACCGGAGTTGGGGGTTACAAAATTATCTTTAGAAACTTCACACGGATGGACTATGGAACTGAATACTGATCACGAGGGGGCAGGCCAGCACCATGTCCCCGTTCGGCTGCCAGAATTTGGGTTGAAACTGGCTGAAAAACACTGTTCCAGCTGAATTATTGTGAGAGAAAAACACTGTTCCGGCTGAAAAAAGAAGCCGAACAAACCGAATATGGGGTAAGCCGAACGGGGCCCATGGGTGTACACATCTACACCCAATATTTATTGCAAAAAAAAACGAAGCTAGCAGGCAGGTAGTCCTATAAACTTGTAATGTAACTATATCAGATAAAAATACAAATAGTGAAATAGCTTATGTTAGGGTTTCGGGTGCTCGGTTCGCACAGGGAGAAGAAGTTGGCGCTCGTCGCCGGCGAAGGCCTGGCCACCTGGCGTAGGGCGGCGGCGGTTGCCTCGGTTGTCGGTGTCGCGGTCGCCACGGGAGGTGAAAACCTGAGAATCCTCCGCTTTTCTCCTTCAAGAACTACTGCTCGTTTCCTCATAGGCCCTCTGCGGGCCATAAAACAGTTAGGCCCAATCGAATTCCAGCGGCTCAAACGGCCCAGATAAACAGCATCCCTTTTCCGAAGAGGAAAAGAAAAGAAGCCCGTCTCCTAGCCGCAACCCTTTCTTCCTCCCACTGCCACACGGGCCCCGTCCTTGTCTTTTCTTCCCCCACTCCCATCTTGGAGAAGAAGAAGAAGGCCGCGCTGCCACCAAAATCGCACGCGAGCCCCAGGAGATCCCCAAACCCTACACTCGCCCGCCGGTGCACTCGGGGATCCTCAATCGAGCAGGTTGACGCAGGAAGAAGGGAGCCTCGAAGATGTTCCGCAACCAGTACGACACCGACGTGACCACATGGAGCCCCCAGGGGCGGCTGTTCCAGGTGGAGTACGCCATGGAGGCCGTCAAGCAGGGCTCCGCCTGCGTCGGGCTCTGTTCCCGCACCCACGCCGTCCTCGCCGCCGTCAACAAGCCCGCCTCCGAGCTCTCCTCCTACCAGCGGAAGGTGTTCCGCGTCGCTGAGCACGCCGGGGTCGCGCTCGCCGGACTCACCGCCGACGGCCGCGTCCTCTCGCGCTTCCTCCGCAACGAGTGCATCAACCACTCCTTCGTCTACGAGGCGCCGCTCCCCATCTCCAGGCTCGCGCTCAAGCTCGCCGACAAGGCGCAGGTCCGTACGTCTCCTTGCGCATCTCAGACTCCCTTCCCCTCCCTCCCGTGATCCCGATCTCTTCTCTTACGAGCCTGCGGGCAGAGTGGAACATTAGAATTCCCATGGTTTGAGTCGCTGTACGAGTTAGGATCTGTGCTTCAGTTCGGTAATTGTTTCTCCGATCTGCGATTAGAGTTTGGCGTTTAGGGTGTTCTGCTGATGCGATTTAGGGCAATAGAGTTTTCCTATTAGCTTATCCTTAGTCCTCACTGCTATATTGAAGGTCTCTCTCCTAATCTTTTTTTTTTTTTTTTGAGAGGTGCTCTCCGCGACCTGACGTACTTGACATGTGTCTCCTAATCTTATCCTTATGGTAGCAGAGGACGTTAGCTGAATATGGTCTTATGTGTGTTTAGATTAGAATTTCAGGTTGAGATGTGCTTATATCTAACTGCAGACATTAACTAGGTGTGGTATTAGCCTTTGCAAATGCTGTTGAATTTGCTCTTTCGGTGTTACCGCCACTTGTGAAACACCGATGCTAAGTTGAACTTGGAGACGCTGGGTAAGCTTTTAATTGAAAACCAAGTGAACATGATTCTACACCTTTTTTTTTCTTTCCTTTTTATTAAATCATGTCAAAATTCAGCAAAGTTTATTTCAGATGTAGCACATAAACTGGCTAATTTATATATTGTGCAACAGACTAAGGAAGATATAGATCAATAAGAAAAGCACGAAAGAAGCTAGATACTAGTTAGAATTACTGAATGATGATTTAAGGATTAAGAACCATGATTTTGACTGTGAATTGATAATTTGGTATATTTGGTTCATTGGAGACAAGCACGAGGAGCTGTTCTTCTATTTCTTGTCGTTGTTTTATTCTTTCATTCAATGTCACTTTGTTAATGCTTGGAAAGAAGTTTGTGTTTGTCTAGGATCTGTTATGGTTTTCTTTCTAATCCTTATTCTCAAACTGTATGCGTATGGCAAAAAAAAAAGTTCTACGGTGCTACATGTGTATAATAATGGCATTGACATAGTTGTCTTGGCACATCCCTTTGTAGAGAAGATTCCAGTTGCACCAATAGCTATTTATGAGCATGCTCTCTGTTATGTTTCACTTGGTTTGGTTCTTGATTTTGTCTTCCCATCTTTTTTGCACTTATTCACAAAATAACAAACTACACTGAACCTGCTTGCATTTTCCTGTTTAGGTCCATGTTATTGCACTTTAGTTATTTGTGAGTGATTTTGTGCCATGTGTTAATATTTTATTGTACAAATGCAGATCATTTATAGGCTATGTTGTTGTTGTTGTTGTACAAATGCAGATCATTTATAGGTTATAAACAGTGTCTTAAATGTGTGTAACTATTTTGAACTCTTAATGACTAAAAAACAAAGCCTGTGAAGTCTATTATGTTTCCTTGAGTTCATGACCTGGAATCATCAGCAGCTAGCAAATTCATTCTGATGTTTTCTTTGAAATGTATCACTGTATCCTTATGATTCATGATTCACTCACTTAAGCTTAATAAAGCTACTACATCAGAGATAGTATTGACTTGGAGTTGGGTGCTTCCATACTGGTGTGCATTTGGATCTTAGGGTTAGGGTAGCGTTGCTTGGCTTGGCTAGGTGTTTGGAATATCCTAATGAAACTAGCTTTCTAAGGACGATAGATTGTACCAGCACGAAAATCTGACCTCAAAGGAGAGCTGAATTAGGCTACCCCTCGATGGCAAGAGTCTCTTGTGGAAGATAAAGTAAAATTCTCTCTGACTCATGTATTAAGTTTTTTACTAAAAAAAAACTAATGCTTGTCCTCAAAAATAAATGAGCTAGATATTTAGCTAAGGCAGGCATGTTATACCTGAAGTGGAGTAGTTTACCCAGCAGAGCTCAGCAAAAAACCTGGAATTTGAAGTTGTGCCCAGCATCGCACCTGCACATTGTAACAGGATTCTTGATGCCAGTTCACTACTACATCTACCATTGACTCTTAGACACATTCTCCAATTGGTTTGTTATCATATCATCATACTTGAGCAATCACAACTTGGTTGTCCTGATATGCTTTTTATTTTGATCATTTCACCAGATGGTCTATTCGTGTCCTTTCTACAAACATGCTTGTTGTGAATTATGAATCGTAGGAGATTATCAGCTGAATCAACTAATCACTTTCAAAAACACCTTTGTTATGCGCAGCACACCAACCTAGTATTGGTGTTGGGGGTGTCTGTTATGAGTTATGACTACTGAGTGGTCTTGTGTTTTATACCACGTCCATATTTTGGTGGCAGAATACTTAATGTAGGTTTGTTAATATATCTCTTTCTCACTCTGTTGCACGTCCTCCACTCAATTCTGAGCATGTATGTAGTGTCTTGATTATGGTACTTCAACTCCAGTTTAGGCTTAGTCCTGTCTTTCCCACAGTGGTCTCATTGTCTGTTCATTTTTGTAGTAAAAAAAGTTGGGTTCAGATAAGATAATAGGCATCTTGATGTGGAATGCTATCGTAAGGGGAATCAAGAATCATTGTGTTCTTTTATGTCCATGCATGCTCTTCCATTTTAGGAGGATGGGTATTGACCCTTTTTAATTGCTGTTGTAGGTTTGCACACAGCGGTCATGGAAGAGGCCCTATGGTGTTGGCCTCCTTGTTGCTGGACTGGATGAGTCAGGAGCTCATCTGTATTACAACTGCCCCAGCGGGAACTACTTTGAGTATCAGGCATTTGCCATCGGTTCTCGCTCTCAAGCCGCCAAGACTTTCCTCGAGCGCAGGTTCCAGGGCTACAAGGACTACACCCCTGAGCAGCTCATCAAGGATGCCCTCTCCGCCATAAAGGAGACGCTGCAAGGCGAGAAGCTGTCGAGCTCCAACTGCACCGTGGCTATTGTCGGCAGGAAGGACGATGGCACCATTGAGCCATTCGAGATGATTGGCGCGGCAAGGATCCAAGAACTTATCGACTCCATGGAGGTCGCCGAGGAGGCACCCGCGGAGGCCTCCTCCATGCAGGAGGAGGAGAGGGGCTCTGAAGATGCTGCTGCACCCATGGACATCTAGGCCTGGGATTAGGGGCCTCATATTATGAACTCACCCTTACACTGCATTCCGAGTTCCCAAAGACTAGACCGCTTCTTTAGAAAATTATTGTGTTGTGACTCTTGTGTACTCTTTGCTTCCAAAAAAACTTGCGATTGTCTCTCTTACGAACAGTTGCTTGGGTTTGGACTGATTATTTATCATGTGATGCAAACACGTTTTGGTTTTGGAGGCCAGCTCGACGGGCATACCATTGAGCCTGAACTGTTTTTGCTCTGATTTTATCAGCTAAACTTTTTATAAACTGCAGTAGCTTGAGGGAGTCGTCTAATAGTAATAGCTTTGTATTAGCTGGATGGTTAGATAAATGAAAAACGGACTAAAAGCTACAGTAGGCTATAAGTTGAGCTGTTTGATCCACTAGAGCTATTTTTTAGCAGTTTTTAACAAGCTCTACCTTATACCAAAGGCCTTGTTTAGTTTCTCTTCTAAAGTTTACTCTATTACATTGGATGTTTGATACGTGTATAGAGTATTAAATATAGACTAAAAATAATTAATTACATATATTGCGACTAATTTACAAGACGAATTTTTTAAGCGTAATTAGTCCATGATTTGACAATGTGGTGCTATAGTAAACATGTACTAATGACGGATTAATTATGATTAATAAATTCGTCTCACATATTACTGAGAACTTCTATAATTTATTTTATTATTACTATATGAACACTCACGTATGACACCCTGATGTGACATTCTTAAACTTTAGTCGCTGGATTTAAGCAGCACCAAATTTTTAGCAGTTTTTAAGCTGTAGCTGGTATCGTGCCACAATTGCGCTGTGCTCGTGCCGTGCTGGTGTAACCGTGCGAGTGCTGTGGTGATTTCATTCCGCTCTGCTTAGGTCCATGGGTGCCAGGGGCAGCACGGCCATGTTCCAAGTAGCTCGCCGCTCAGGCTACACGTCCATTGCCTTCTCGTGGCTCGCCGCTCGCCAGATGTTTTCTCCCATAGTCTCCTGCACTGCACATGACACATTCCATCCATTCCATAATGTCCTCCAGTAACAATAAAGTCCCCGGCATATGGATACAGATGTATGTTTCCTAGTCCTAGATGAATGCAGATCTGAATTTGATCTTTGGTTGGGATATTGCACCTATTCTGAATCTTGACTCGGCCGAACGTGGATGTCCCACAGCATTTATTCTATCTATTTTTAAGCAAATACTACTAATTTCTGAACCTAAAATGGTTGTATGGATAGAGTATTTTCTGCAATGTTGTTGGGTTTGAATAGGTCTTTCCTTTTTCGACATTTGTATAAAGGAAACAGAAATGTGGCTACAAACTACACATCCAAATGGTAAAAATAAAGGAATAGTGATACGGAAAATTAGACTCTCAACTCAGCTGCCTTGTCAACATAACACATAACGTGTCTCACAAGTCAGTGCTAGAGCGAAATAATATCTGCCACCGGGTTCTTAAGTTTTCCTAGCAAAAACTATTGCCAAACGTGTTGAACATGCTTACAATGCTATGCACACTGAAATCTTGGCTTGCACTCAAGGCATAAATAAAAGCTGCTCGTGACTAAGGAATACAAAGAATTGTCCTGGAAACTTATGTTCTACAGGTGGAGCCCGCTCTACATTCACTCAACCATCATCTCGCAGTATTGTGTGGCTTAATACACGAGTTGAAGGAGTTGTTATTGGACGATTTTATGTCCTCGAAAGTTGATCATGAAATGTAACAAAGTAGCTCATGAACTTGCTAGGATAGGCGCGTTATATCAGATAGGACATGCTTTTCTATCGCATGATATACCCGATTGTATTCTGGGTTCGGGCCAACGATTTAGCTAAACCATAGGTTTAATCAATGGCGAAGCTATAATAAATTAAAAAGGGGTGTAACTGTCTTGTGGGTGCATGAACTTATATTATAGATGTGCATATATGGTAAAAAATTAGACTTCATCACTGACTATCATACATATAGCTTCGCCCCTGGGTTTAATGACGGCATGTTTCCTGTAAAAAAGGCTACTGCCTAATGACTTCTCTTGCATGCTCAAGTTAGACGAGACTTTGTCGTCTATCGCTAGAGATCTCGCCACTCTCGGTATATCTAAATTCTAAACCCATGTGTGAAGAGGATGGCAAAGGTTGATGTCTTGATGAAGCCACAGTGACATCGCCGTATTCGTTCCTTAGGTGCAACCAGAACATGGTACTATTAGTTGTCGTAAACATCATATATATATTTAACGTGTTAATTAATGAAAGAAGAAAAATAAAAGTTCAGAGAAGGAAATTTTCTCCCGACTAGGCGTACGGAGTAACACAGAAAGTAAAAGACACTCGGATGTACTCTAAATCCTTAGTTATTTTGGTCTGTTTGGATTCTTTGCTAGTTCCTATGTTGCTTTGCTAGACGCGAAATCAGATGTAAGCTTATGTTTGGTTCTTGAACCAACTTACTTCGTAGTCCGTACAGGCAAGGTTTTGCCTTGCTCCTGTGGAAGGGCCAAATTGGCTCGCCCAGCCTGGCAAGGCAAAGGTTTGCTCGACCAAGCGAGGCGAGGCAAGGCTTGCTGAAAACCAACAGATCTCTCTGGTGGGGATCCTAGCGCACGTCCAGCACACGAAACGCGGAAGCCCTCCTGTTCTCCTGGCCCACATGTCAGCATATCCACATGCACGCCGAATTAACTGCGGCCATGTGTGCTCCCAACCGTTCTCCCACGCGGGATCCAGCGTACCAAACGCCGGTGTGGTGTGGGCCCCGCGCGTCAGTGACCCCAAAGCCTTCCAGTCGCCGTCATAGACACCCCGGTCTCATTTCTGTTCCTCGTCGTCTTCGCCACTTCGCCGCCGCTTTCACTTCACGTCTCCATGGCGGCGGCCTCCGCCCGCGTCCTCGCCGCGGCCGCCACGGCCGCCGCCACGGGGCACCGGCGCGCCGCGTTGAGGCGCGTACCGGTCCCGGTGTCCGCCTCGCTCTCCTTCCCGCCGCGCCACCCGGCGCCATTCCGCGGCCGGGCCAGCCTCGCCTGCCCCGCCGCGGCCTCGCTCTCCGTCCCCTCCGGCGGCGCGCCGCCGGGCTCCGTGCCATTCGACCTCCTGACGCCCGACTCCGAGCCCTTCATCGAGTGGGACCCGCCCCCGGGCGACTCCGCGGCCTCGCCTTTCGCCGGCGGAGGCGGCGCCGCGGGGGGCGCCACGCTGGTCGTGCTGCTCGGGTGGCTCGGCGCGCGCCAGAAGCACCTCCGCCGCTACGCCGACCTCTACCGCGAGCACGGGGTCGGCGCGGTGCGGTTCGTCGTGCCCGTGCGCGAGCTCGTCGACCTCGACCTCGGCCGCCGCGTCGAGCGCAGGGTCGCCGACCTCTCCGAGGAGATCGCCGCCTGGTGCGACGCCGACTGGCGCCGCACCCTCCTCTTCCACACCTTCAGCAACACCGGATGGCTCGCGTAAGGAATCGAAGTCGAACCCCCCTCGCTTCTCCTGAAGCGCTTTAGTTCTAGTGTGGATGATTCAGTCATAAATTGGAATGTCCGAAAGCTGATAGTTAGTTCGTATGGCACTTGAGAGACGCGTGCATGCGTTCCTCATTCGATTGCACACTGACATGGGGGCTCTAGTTTGTCGTGTGACACGTTGTTATGAAACTTTAGTTTGGTATACATAAGATTGATGGATAGAATTTTCACGATTCAGGAGGTATATCCTCGCCCAAGATACCACGAGGTCGATGGGAGCATTTAGCACGCTACTGCACACCCAATTCTAGTTGGAAAACTTAAAGTGGTTGTGCCATCATGCCTAGGAGAAAATCTTCATCTTGTCTTTGGTGTGTTGTAGAATGAATCTCCTTGTGGTTCTCCAGGGTATGTGTTTCCACTCCTAGTGGTAACATAGGAGTAGGACAAATGGTGACAGTGAGCATTAGTGGTTAACTGGCAATGAAAATACTGCATGATATTGATGCCACAGTTCTGATTCTCTGGCAATGCTTTCATTGTTTCTTTGTGCACATTTTTCCTTATGGTGATCTGTTATGCATCAGCTATGTTATGGATTTGTCATCGTTTTCTTATTCTGAAAAACATCTAGCCATACCTGTTGCGCTGAACTACATCCACACACAGCAAATTCTGTCCTTGTATTTCTCAATGGAGTTCATTGTTTTTTCATTATTATAACTTCATTTTGGGGTAGTTCGGTGAATATTCTGATTCCTGAATCTAGTCATGGATGTCTTACTTCAAATCATAGTAAAACAATTATTGGATTGTTTAATGTCTACAGTGATGCATTAAATGGACTATGCATAAAAGCATTTTTTGCTTTCTTTCCAGCTATGGTGCTGTATTGGAGAATCTACAATCAAGAGCTGACCTAACTGAGAGAATAAGAGGATGTATTGTAGACTCTGCACCAGTTCTAGAGATAAGACCAGAGGTTCGTGTACCTGTCCTTTTTTTTTCTTACCGAATCAAGTATACAATTACAATAGAGTTTAACTTGCTAGGTGAAAATGTTCCAAGGCCCTCCATACATTTACAAGTAGATATTTTCTATCTTGGTCATTTTTGTATCCAGTATTGTGGTTGCCTATGGTTTCATTCTATGCAATTAAGCTTGTTTGCCTGGAAGTTCTCATTTTTATGTTAAACTCAGGTCTGGGCGGCTGGATTCTCTGCTGCAATGTTAAAGAAAAGTAGTTCCATGACAGGACCTACAGCTGAATCTCTTGATGGGCCTATTGTAAATGGCACCTTGAACAAAGTTACCTCTAATGTGACGCAACCTTCATGGGGTGAATGCTTTCTTCTGTCAACTCTGCAGAAATTCTTTGAGATTGTTCTTTATGTACCTGATGTAAACAAGTAAGTGCAATTACCGTTCTGAATCACTGCTCTGCTTAAGTGCCATGAACTGCCTTGTGCCAGCCAGCATTCATCAACTATATTAGTTATTTTCTTTTTGGGTACGACCGCGCCGGGGTGGGGGGTAGGAGGATATTTAAATGCAATCTCAAAGCCTCAGAAGACTCACCAAACCAAAACCCAGAAGTTTTTGTTTTTAAGAGGAGAACAGGTGTGTATCAATTGTTGAAACAAACATCAAAGATGCTAAAGAGGCAATAAGAACTGCTGTCAAAAGAATGATAGAAGACTAGTAACAGAGAGGGGGCTATTCTTTGTTTTAGCGGTGTTTGAATCCATTAGCAGCTAATAACTCCCAGCTATTTAGCTGGCTAACTATTAGTTGCAAGGTGGTTGGATTCCACTAGCTAATAGGTGGTTGAAGTGTTATTTTACTCAAAAAAAAAATCTACTGTTTCCTAGCTAAAATACTTATCAATTGGTGGGAGGGCATTACAGTTAATTGGCTACTAATTTGCTGCTAGTAGCTATGTTTGCGCAACTAATGAGATGATTGTTAGCTAGGTGCCTAGCTAACAGTTGATTGATTTGTCACCTGGGCCTGTTTGGATTCACCCTATCTCATGGTGTTCTTAGGAGTAACTATTAGCTTGTCAGATCCAAACAAGACCTAAGTCAGGAACTCATGGTGTTATTGAGGGTGTTAGCCTAGTGCTGAACCTCAATGTATCCAGTTACCTACTATAGCTATTTACTATTCACTGTCATGTAATTTTTTAGGTTCCTTGGCAACCAAGTTGATCATGGTGCCTTGGCAACCAAGTAGGAATCATAGCATCTGCTTTATGCAGTTAGAATATGCTAAGGAGTAGGTAGGTACACCACTTGCCTATATATGCAGTGGTTAGCATCTTCTTGTATCCTAAGTTGGCATTGCAATTCAATACAATCCAAGCGGCCTGTTGGCCAAGCTGCCCTCTAGCAGCCCAATTCCACTTGTGTTCTAGTTAGTTTAGCAACTATTGGTATCTAGAGCCAGCTTAGGAGAGAGCAGAGGCCATGTCCACCTCCAACGAGCGCGCCCTGAGAGCAGCAGCCGCCACCGCAGCCGCCAATGCAGGCGGAGGAGCGGTGGTCAATCCTGGCGCCGATTGGGCTCAGCGCTTGGCCGCGGCAGAGGCCGCAGCCGCGCAGGCGATCAAGGTGGCCAGGCAGGTAGCGGCAGCAGCCCAGGCAGCGGCCAACACGGCCGCCGCGCTGCGCGCGGAGTTGGAGAGGCAGCCCAGGGAGCCATCGTGGAGCCCAGTGCGCCGCCGGATCCCGTCACCGTCGCCATAGCGCCTTCGCGGATGCGGAGGCCGTCGCGGGTCACCTGCGGTCGTCCAGACGGTGTACAAGGACTCCGGCACGGGGACCCCATGGCCGATGCTGACCAAGACCAATTACCACGAGTGGAGCCTGCTTATGAAGGTGAAGATGCAGGCGCGCTAGCTCTGGGACGCCATCGAGTACGGCGACCTCCCGTACCACGACGACCAGCGCGCGCTTGAGGCCATCATCGCCGGGGTACCACCGGAGATGGGCGCACCGCTCGCGGACAAGGCGGCGGCTAAGGAGGCGTGGGACTCCATCGCCGCGGCGCGCATCGGCGTCGACCGCGTCCGCCGCGCCATGCTGTAGCGGTTGCGCAAGGAGTGGGAGAACCTCGTCTTCCGTCCCGATGAGCAGGTTGAGGATTTCGCCCTCCGCCTCTCCGCGCTGAAGAAGCAGATGGCCCGCCACGACAACAAGGACCTCGACGAGGAGCGGGCGGTGGAGAAGCTTCTTCGTGCGGCACAGAAGAAGTACGCCCAAGTGAAGATCGCGATCGAGACCCTCCTCGACTTCTAGGACCTCACCATCGAGGAGGTCGCCGGAAGGTTGAAGACGATGGACGATCTCGAGGAAGAACCTCTGTCCGAGCCCATCTCCGTCGGCGGGAAGCTGATGTACACCGAGGAGCAATGGCTCGCTCGGCAGAAGGAGAAGAAGGGAGGAGACGGCTCCGGCTCGTCCAGCTCGACCAAGGACCACCGTCGGTGACCTCCTGGCGGCAGAAAGCAGAGGCCAAAGGGCGAGCGGGGCGAGCGGGGCGACCGTGGCGGCGGCAGGCAAGGAGAGAAGGCTGGTGGCGCCGGCGGCGAACGCAAGGCGAACCGCGACAACACCTGCCTTAACTGCCACCGCACCGGCCATTGGGCAAAGGACTACCCTTGGCCCCGACGCGAGCGTGGCAGCGCAACGCATCTCGCAGAGGCGGATGATGACGAGATGGCTCTGTTTCTTGCTCACGGCTTCCTGGAGCTGGAAACAGAGGAGGACATCCTCTGCTCCAAGGCCAGCCTCGACATCGACGAACCCCGGGCTCGTGCGTTCCTCAACACCGGCTCCGGCGAGGACAAGATGGATGGCTGGTACCTCGACAGCGGCGCTACCCACCACATGACCAGCCATCGCGAGCTCTTCTCCGACCTCAACACCTCTGTTCGCGGCTCGGTGCGGTTCGGCGACGCATCAAGGGTGGAGATTCAAGGCGTCAGCTCGATCGTGTTCACAGCCAAGACCGGCGAGCACCAAGTCCTGCACGGCGTCTACTTCATCCCAGCGCTACGCAATTCCATCACGAGCGTCGGCCAGCTCGATGAAGGCAGGTCCAAGGTGGAGATCGACAAGGGCGTTCTTCGCATCTGGGATCGTCGCGGGCGCCTCCTCGTCAAGGTGAACCATGGGCCCAGCTGCCTCTACGTTCTCTATCTTGAGGCCGCGAAGCCGCTCTGCCTCGCCGCGAGGAAGGACGACGACGCCTGGCGCTGGCACAAGAGGTTCGGCCACCTCCACTTCGAGGCGCTGCACCAGCTCGGCATGTTGGCTATGGTGCGCAGCATGCCGGTGATCAAGCACGCCGAGCAAGTCTGCGACACCTGCGTCACAACGAAGCAGCGCTGGCGCCCCTTCCCTCAGCAGGCCCAATACCGCGCGCAGGAGCAATTGGAGCTCGTCCACGGCGACCTTTGCGGGCCCGTGACGCCGGTGACTCCAGGAGGGCGGCGCTACTTTCTCCTGATGGTGGACGACGCATCCCGCTTCATGTGGGCCGTCCTGCCGCCGTCCAAGGATGCTGTCGTCCAAGGATGCTGCTGCGGACACCGTCAAGAAGGTCTAGGCCGCGGCGGAGGAGAGCGGCCGGAAGCTCCGGGTGCTACGCACCGACAACGGCGGCGAGTTCACCGTCGCAGAGTTCGCCGACTACTACGTGGGAGAGAGCATCCAGCGCCATTTCTCGGCGCCTCACTCGCCACAGCAGAACGGCGTAGTGGAACGCCGGAACCAGACCGTGGTGGCTACGGCTCAGGCGCTGCTGAAGCAGAGGAGGATGTCGGCCAAGTTTTGGGGCGAGGCGGTGATGACGGCAGTCCATCTGCTCAAATCGCTCACTGACGCGGAGCTTGCAGGGCAAGACCCCCTACGAGGCCTGGCACGGGCGCACGCCGGCAGTTGGCCACCTGAAGACATTCGACTGCGTCGCCTACACCAAGGATCTCAGGCAGCTCTGCAAGCTGGATGATCGCGGCAAGCCCAGCGTCTTCATCGGGTACGCGGAGGGAGCCAAGGTGTACCGCATCCTGGACCCTACGACGCAGCGTGTCAGGATCAGCCTCGATGTCATCTTCGACGAAGGGCGTGGCTGGAATTGGTCCACCCCGGACGCCGACAGCTCGGCCGCAGCGGCGAGCGACTTCATCGTCGAGTTCTGGGAGACTGGAGGAGCCGGGGGAGCACAAGGTGCCTCTCCAGTGGTGGCCGGAGCTACATCGCCGGCGCCATCACACTCTGCACCGCGCTCGCCGTCATCAAATTCGGGGGAGCCTGGAGGGACATCGGCAGCTGCGGTCGCTCCTCCAACACCCCAACCGGCCTCGCCAATGCCACCGCCAGCATCCCCTGCTGCCCCTACTGCTCCACCGACATCACCAGCGGCGGCAGCTGTGGCTGGAGACCAAGTGGAGCTTGCCACTCCACTGGTGGATGATGAAGACAAACTCGATGCCTACTACGACGATGAGCCGCTGCGGTACCGCACGATGACGAACATCATCGGCGACCATCCTCCGCCTCCACCGCCTCAACACCTCTTCGTCGAGCTTCACCTCACACACGCCGGCGAGCCTGCCAACCACGCCGAGGCCAAGGATGACCCGGCATGGCGGGCGGCAATGGAGTAAGAGCTCAAGGCGGTGGAGCAGAACCGGACTTGGGAGCTGATGCCGCTCCTTGCTGGTCACCGGCCCATCACCCTGAAATGGGTGTTCAAACTCAAGAAGGACGAGCTGGGCGCGGTGATCAAGCACAAGGCAAGACTGGTGGCGCATGGCTTCGTCCAGCGGGAGGGGGTGGACTATGACGACACGTTCGCTCCGGTGGCGCGCATGGAATCCGTCAGGGTCCTCGCGCTGGCGGCTCAAGAGGGCTGGCGCGTCCATCACATGGATGTCAAATCGGCTTTCCTCAACGGCGACCTCAAGGAGGAGGTATACGTCGTGACCGCCCGGCCCGCCAAGAAGAGGGAAAAGTCTACCGCCTCGCAAAGGCCCTCTACGATCTGCGGCGAGCTCACAACTGAACGCCAAGCTGGACGCCATACTCAAGGACATGGGCTTCCAGCAGAGCGCTCATGAGGCGGTGATGTACCGGTGGGGCAGTGGACGCTCTGTCCTGCTCGTCGGCGTCTACGTTGACGACCTGATCATCACCGGCACGGAGGACCGAGAAGTGGAGGCGTTTAAGGCATAAATGAAGAAGATCTTCGACATGAGTGACCTCGGCCTACTCAGCTTCTACCTCGGCGTCGAGGTGCATCAAGATGCCCATGGCATCACCCTCCGTCAGACACATTACGCCAAGCGGATCCTAGAGCTCGGCGGAATGGCTGGCTGCAACCCTGCCCACACTCCAATGGAGGAGCGGCTGAGGCTTAGCAGACACAGCATGGCAGCGGAGGTCGACCCTACACACTACCGGCGCCTCATCGGCAGTTTGCACTACCTGGTGCACACTCGCCCCGATTTGGCGTTCGCCGTCAGCCGGTTCATGGAGCAGCCTACGGTGGAGCAACAACAAGCTGTCAAGCGCATTCTCCGCTATGTCACTGGCACGCTCGACTACGGTCTGCACTTCACCAAGGCGCCCGGCTCCGCTCGCTTCGTCTGCTACTGCGACAGCGACCTCGACATAAGCAAGAGCACGAGTGGAACACTCTTCTTCCTCGGCAATTGCTGGGTCAGCTGACAATCAATCAAGCCGAAGGTGATGGCGCTCTCCAGCTGCGAAGCAGAGTACATTGCCACCTCTACTGCTGCAACCCAGGCTCTGTGGCTCTCCAGGCTGCTAGCAGAGCTCCTCGGCGACATGTCGAGGTGGTGGAGCTGAAGGTGGATAGCAAATCAGCGCTTGCTCTTTCTAAGAATCCAGTTTTCCATGAGAAGAGCAAGCACATAAGAATCAAGTACCACTTCATCCGCAGCTGCCTGGAAGATGGAAGCGTCAAGGCCGATCACATCCCAACTACTGATCAGCTTGTAGACATTCTCACCAAATCCTTGGGCAGGGCCAAATTTGAAGAGATGAGGGAGAGAATTGGCTTGAAGCATATCATCCCCAAGGCAGGGCACAAGGCTAAGGGGGAGAAATGAGGGTGTTAGCCCTGAACCTCAATGTATCCAGTTACCTACTATAGCTATTTACTATTCACTGTCATGTAATTTTTCAGGTTCCTTGGCAACTAAGTTGATCATGGTGCTATGGCAACCAAGTAGGAATCATAGCATCTGCTTTATGCAGTTAGAATATGCTAAGGAGTAGGTACACCACTTGTCTATATATGCAGCGGTTAGCTTCTTCTTGTATCCTAAGTTGGCATTGCAATTCAATACAATCCAAGCGGCCTGTTGGCCAAGCTGCCCTCTGGCAGCCCAATTCCACTTGTGTTCTAGTTAGTTTAGCAACAGTTATTTTCTTCCCCCTCTTGTTCAGCATTATTGTACACCTTATCTTCTTTTTTCACAGATCTACTACTGTAGGCCATTCTGTTATCTGATACTGTTGCTTGCCTGCTGATCATCTACAGGCGACTGTGCAGGACTCTCTTGGTTCTTTCGGAGAAGCAGCCTTCCTGCCCCCAGTTCTACCTGTACAGCTCAGCCGACCGAGTCATACCGGCGGAGTGCGTGGAGAGCTTCATGAACTCGCAGAGAAGCCTAGGGCGCAGCGTGTTCGCCCACAACTTTGTCTCGTCGCCCCACGTCGACCACTACCGGAGCTTCCCCCACGTGTACTCTGCCAAGATCGACGAGTTCCTGAAGATCTGCTCCACGGTCAAAGTATCATGACCAGCCTTCGATCCGACTAACATGCAGGCCTGTCAAACTGCTATCTGAATTGATTTGGTTTGGTGTGTTCTCAGAGCGTAGCCGCAGCTACATCACCCTGATGAGAGGTACCTGTAATTCGTCGAATACCTTGGTTTGACTCCTGCTAAGCTCTGGACTCCTGGAGGATCCGCTAGATGCGCGCATTGGAAGGATTAGATGTTGAGCCAGAATTTCTGCGCTCCATTTTTGTTCATCCTTGTTCTGAGAATGGATAGATGTTTGTTTCCCACTCTGAATCTGATGGGTAGGCTCCCAAAGAGGGAAGGTGAGATGAAATTGTACCCTGATTCTTTTGGACGTGAGTTGTACCATGATCGGATCGGACGCCGAAGTTGCTTGCTGTGGAGTCCCGTAGCGTCTGAACTCTGAAGTTATATTAAGGCAACGTGTGCTTATGTTCCCATCATTATTGTATTGTATGGCACTGTGGCTTCACCTTCGTGGGATGCAATGCAATGCAATCGTGGTGGAGCACGCTGCATCCATCCCGCCGTGTCTGTTCACAGAACTGGGGTGCTCGGCGCGTGCGTGTCTTTAGTCTGATTATTATCTATCTCTGAGCTTTTGCATGTCCAGGGATGCAAATGGGTACCCAATGGTTGTGGGTTAGCTAACTAATTACGATCAAATGCCATTTTAGTTCATTTTTCTACTTCCCTCAAAGTACGAAAATGCCATTCTAGTTTATTTGGTTTATTTTTTGGGTCAACCCAAAGTTTGTACTTGCATCCCTGCATGTCCTAAAGAGAACTTCCATCTCTGGTCGCTGCCAGCCAGGTTTAGTGCCTGAATCACATTCTTTGGCCTGAAGCAGCAGCACACCAAACAGCCTAGCCTCTTGGCGTCGCCTGGCGGCGAGCAGCGAGGTCGAGGCCAGTCTACAGTCGATTTCGCCGTGACTTTTTGTTTCACCGACGAGTCGATTTCACCGTGACACTTTGTCACTGACGAGGCCGGTGTGTAGCCGATTTCGCCGTGACTTTGGCAGTCACGAGTCGATTTCACCTTTGCCTTCGTTACCGACGACTAGTAGAAGTTAGAACCGGACATTTTGTTACCAACTAGCAGCATGTTCGGTTGGCTGGTTCGTTTCGTTGCTGGTTCGTGAAGAAATACTGCTGGCTGGTTTGTGTGAGAGAAAAATACTATTCTGGCTAAAAATTTACGATCGTTTACGACAAGCCAAACAAACAGGTTATGGAGTCCGAAACCGGACCCACCTATCAGTGACAAAGTCAAACAGGACAAGCAGAGGAGAGGAGGGTCTCCAAAACCAGGCGCACCCGCGACGCCACTGACCAACTAGCCAAAACCGCCCGCCCGCCCGCGCCTGTTTGTTCGGTCGGCGCACGCGCTGCCGACTCGAAGACGCGCGCACGCCATGGCCATGGAGGAGGGATCAGGAGCAGTGGAGAAAGGGCCGGCCCTGGGCACGGTGGCTGACGCCTCTGCCGCCGCCGCCAAGGTCATCGGCGACGGGAAGGAGGAGGCCGAGGGGAGACGGCCGGCTCCGGCCGCCTACGCGGCCGTCGTGATCGGGGGCACCTTCGACCGCCTGCACCAGGGCCACCATCTCTTCTTGAAGGTACGGTGCGGGGCTGCGGGCAACAAGGACTCTCTACTCTCGCCCTGTGCTTCTTCCTCTCCTCTGCTCTGCTCTGCCCTGCCCTGCCTCTCGCATTACTTTCGCCGCCCACCCAATGGACGGATGCTGCCCTGCGTCTGTTCTTGTGCTCTGTGGAATCCAATCTTGTTTGTGGTCTCACCTCACCCTTGGCGTCGTCTCTTTCTGCCTACGTGTGCGTCAGTTCCAACTTCGAGGTGTTAAAACCTCAGTTGATCCTTTGATTACTGCTTTCTTTCTGATGATCGGTGGTTGAGCTTGAGCAGTTGAGCCCCTATGGAAGAACACAACTTCGTCTCCTGTCTTTTTTTGTTTTGTTTTGTTTATTAGTTTACTATAAAAAAATGAACAACGATGATTTTCTCTCGGTTCCATTCTCTTCTAATAAAACATAAACAATGTTTGTGAGTTGTGACAGGCGGCAGCGGAGCTGGCGAGGGAGAGGATTGTGATCGGCGTCTGCGACGGCCCGATGCTCGCCAAGAAACAGGTCAGCTTTCGCGTCACTGGCCGATCTTATCATTCACTAGTAAATAATAAATCTCGCTTCTACTTCAAATCCACTTGATGCATGCTTAGAATCTGATCACACTTGCTTCTACACTAATAAATCCTGACCATAGTGTTCAGCGGATGCCACAGCAACATCAGCTTTTTAAATCCTGAGACGTGAGACGTCTCAACTCATACCCAACTGCATGTCCCAAAAACATACTACTCCCTCCGTTCGTTCCAAATTGCAAGTCGTTTCTAGTTCCAATTTGAAACGAAGGGAGTAGTATGATTTTTAGTTTCAAACTGCAAGTCTTTTGCAGTTCTAGTTTGGAACCAAGGAAGTAGTATGGTTTGTAGTTTCAAATTCAAACTAGAGGACTTTATTTAGGTATGCCATTCCAAGATTATAGAGGGCAAAAGTGTCACTAACTATAGAACAACAGCCAATGAGCACAATGGGACCAATGGGGCATGGTAGGCTGACAAGTAATCTGGTGCAATCAGAGACTCTGAGACACCACAGGAATAGGTCGATATCAAACAGTAAAACCATGTCATTATCAAATAATGGCCGGATTTAGTATTTCAGGTGGGGAGTTCTACTGATTCACAGTTATATGCAAGTTCATTGAACATGGACAGGTTTCAAATTCGATGGCTAGCTACCTCTCACAAGTTTGGTAGGGGGTTGGGTGGTTAACCAATAACCACTAGTTGAATTGAACGGCATATTCCCCTTCAAAGTATGCATGTGAGCTGCATATGTGGTCTGTGTGGTCATGGCATGCAGCTGAAGAATCTAAGACTTTTATTATGAGTAGAGGAGTCTGATGGCATCTTTTGCTTTGGCTGCTTTGTTCCTTGCAGTATGCCTACCTGATACAACCAATCGAGAAGCGGATGCAAAATGTCAAGGATTATATCAAGGTATCCCCCTGATCCAGTAAACATTTCTTATTATGGCCCTGTTCGGCTGGTGCTGATGTTAATTTATTGTGAGAGAAAAACACTCTTCTATGGCTGAAAAGTAGTGCTGATATCAGTTGGCTTGGATGCAACTCCATGTACACGTACATCAATGGGCACCCTTAACCTGCATGTATTGAAAATCAAGCAATTTATTATTGGTGTATCTTTACATGTAGATTTTTTTTTTGAAAAAAAATTACATGTAGGGTTGTAAACGGGCTGGAATTTTTATTTATCCTGCCAGTTTCTGTATTTCGGGGGGGACTGAAAACAGGGCAGTAACTTGGATTAGTGGGATGTGATGAACTGGAGCTGGACAGAAAATAGGTGTGTTTCCTGCCTGTTTTTAGGTGGTGGAAAAAAAACAGTGTATTCCATTGACAATTCCCTAGGAGATGTACTACGTGAGGGCCCTAGTCCAACGCCACTACCCGCTGGGCCAAGAGGCCCTGTTGTGCTGCAGTGCTGCTGGAGTGCTGGCCCAGCAATTAAATTAGTTTTGGCTATAGATGCCAAAAAAAAAAGACAAAGTATGGACTAATCACGGACGAGAGCTAATAGGGACTAATTGGTGGATACAACCTATTAGAAAAAAAAATAGCCCATGATTTGTCCATGTTTAGCCCCTTATCCCATCCAAACGTGCCCTAAAGTTGTTTCGTTCCTGGTGATAAAAATATGGACACGTAAATGATTGAGTTGCTACCTGCTTCAGTCCCTATTTGGTTAAAGGCTACATGTCTAAGGGATTCATGTAAGCTATATAGTTCTATGATGCAGCTGTGTTCAATTTAACAAATTGCCACGACAATAGAAACAGGTTCGTGCACAAAATCAGCTTTGACACCCACTCTTTCCATTTGCACAGTCCATAAAGCCTGACCTTGACGTTCATGTGGAGCCGATCGTGGACCCTTACGGCCCCTCCATCGTTGACCAAGGTCTTGAGGCCATCATTGTCAGGTTAGGATGTTCTTGCCCTACATTTGTCTAATACATGCTATCATATTTGTTCAGCAGCACTACTAGGTGGTGTTTAAATTCATGAAGTAAAATTTAGGAATGTCACATCGGGTGTCACATGGAAGTGTTCAGATAGTAATAATAAAACAAACTACAGAAGTCCTCAGTAATCCACGAGATGAATTTATTAAGCCTAATTAAACCATCGTTAGTATATGTTACTGTAGCACCACGCTGCCAAATCATAAACTGATTAGGCTTAAAAAATTCGTCTCGCAAATTAGTCGCATCCTGTACAATAGTTATTTTTTAGTCTATATTTAATACTCCATATGTCCAAATATCTAATGTGATAAAAAGTAAACTTTAGGAGAAGGAACTAAACAAAGCCGTATAACTCTTTTAAGCTGATGATGTTGATTGTATGCAAAACCTTGGAGCAGCAAGGAGACCATGCGAGGAGGAGACGCTGTCAACAGGAAGAGAGCAGAGAGAGGGCTCACTCAGTTACAGGTTTGTTACAAAATGGTTTTATAGTTATAGTATACGAAAAGAAAAACCTACACGTTATCAGACAACCCAGACTCAGGTCGACATCTCATGGTCTAAAATCTTGCAGATCGAGGTGGTAGAGCTGGTACCAGAGGGATCGACAGGGAATAAGATAAGCTCCACAGCATTCAGAAAGATGGAAGCAGAGAGGGAATTGCAGCAACAGAATAAGCAGCAAGAGACAGCAACAGGCAGTCCAATTGGGATGCAAAACAAAGCAGTTCAGTCATATGGATCAGACTGATGAGCTGCAGTTCTGTACCTGCACTCTTTTTTATACATATATGAAACTTTGAGCTACAAAAGCCAAAAATGTTCTGCTTTATATAGAAAAAGGCTCTGTTCCATCATGAGCTCAATACAGAAAAGTTACAGTTCTTTTACATAATCAGATCGAAGGATAATCTACAATTGAGAAACTACAAAATCCCCAGCACAGCTTAAGTATACAATTCAGAAAGACCATTCGTAGGTGGCATATTGGCTTTGCTGTAGAGCTAGCTAAAGATCCATCTTTCCTGGATTAGTGATTACTTCAATCCATACCCCTATGGAATAACAAAAAGCAAGGGCAGAGGGACCAGGATCCGAAACCATACAATAATTCGTAGGAACCCACACCGAATAGAGGGACCTAAGCATTACACAACCGTATTTGCAGCTTTCGGCGTCCTCCACTCTATGCTTAGACTTGTAAGAACTTCAAATTGTTGAAACTTATACAAATCAGAATTGGAGTCTTGGGACTTGATTTATTAGCAATGAGCTCAGACTTCAAAATCAGGTTGAAACCGTAACCATAATCCAAAACAGAAAATGACAACAGCCCCATTGCATGTTTTTTTTATTGATACAAGCAATAAATTGGTGGTGCAATAGAAAAAGTTGGCAGATTCTGATTTGATACTCCTATTTGACAAGCATAAGAAAAGACAACACGAAGCAACAATGGAACTGGCAAGAATAAGATTTTATCAACTATTAAATAGTGAGTGCAGTGGTCCTCAGACATCCAAGGAAGGATTTTGCAGCATAAGCTCTCAAGCCTGGCAGGGCAAAAGCTCTTACGCGGCAACTGCAAATGTAGAGAAACATGCCTTGATTTTGTCATCATAGGACACCACTGCTCAGAAATCAAGTCACATAAACAAACAAATGGAGGAAACATCTGTAGGAAAATACCAAACATTTGCATCAGACATCCAAGGAAGGATTTAGCAGCACTAGCTCTCAAGCCTGGCAGGGCGAAAGTTCTTAGGTGGCAACTGCGAATGTAGAGAAACAAGCCTTGATTTTGTCATCATTTGCAATGCACAACAGCTAATAAAAAAGCACAACAGCTAATAAAACAGCACAATATACAGAACGTACTGACAAATGAAGAACTGGACAAGAACATATAGCCCTGTTCGTTTGGGCTGGTTTGGCTTATAAGCCATGACTGAAAGTACTGTTGACTGGTTTGGTGTGAGAGAAAAATACTATTCGTTGGCTAATAAGCCATGGCTTATAAGCCAAATACGACCAAACGAACAGGCTGGCTCAGACATCCAAGGAAGGATTTAACAGCACAAGCTCTCAAGCCTGGCAGGGCGAAAGCTCTTAGGCGGCTACTGCGAATGTTGAGAAACAAGCCTTATTTTTGTCATCATTGCCATATGCATCAAGTAGACAGAACAGAATGAGCAATGAATGTAATCACAGAAACCGGCTCTTTGAAACAGCAGCTAAAAGCAAAGATTAACAATAAGCAATGAATGTAATCACAGAAACCGGCTCTGTGGACAGATAGAGAAGCCGTCCCCAGGTTCCTATCAACATGTGAAGCGTTGAAACAACTTTGTATTGGCCTAATCATAGCATCTCTGGTCAAAGCTCGTAGCTACCAGAGACGTGGCATCAGGCCCAAACTATTTTTCAGCAATGACATCATGATCTGTGACTAGCAGAATACAAACAAACAAAATAAAACATAGTGGCAGTTCTGTAAAATCCCTCAGAGACCCGATTTAAATCACGCACCACAGCTGAAACAAACAGCTACAGATGGGAGCTCCAGCCAGACCAAACCACAAAGGTTATGGTCAAGGATGGACCATCTGCAGCTGAGAGAAGCAGCTGCTGTTTACAGTGTCAAACGGCACTTCCTATCGGTAGGTCTTGAGATCCTCACAGGGACTACATAGCTGAACTACCTTATGACATACAGACCTTACAAATTAAGACCTGATTTCAAACATATTGAAGTACAGCGTCACCAGAAAAAAATTGTCTTCTCATTCACAGCGCAATGCAATTACGCTGTGTCAGAAGGTGTCCTAAGATTGTTTCAAGTTTTCATCCTCTGATGCCAAACAAAAAAGATGCATGAGGAATGCAAAATGCAACGAAGGTCACCTCAAACATATAGCAAACAAAATTAACGGGCTCAGAGAGTTGCTAATCTGCTCAATGAAGGGATAGTCCCTTCTCATACAAGAGGTGTCAGAAATAAGCAATAACTCGTCACAGCACAACCAACCTATTCTAAAATAGAAAAAAGCCATATGAAACGACCTCACGAACTCGTAATCATATGCTAACATACGCAGGAAAAGGGCCAAGTTTGGTCAGGAAAAATACAGCTAGGGAGGAGCTCAGAGAGTTGCTGAATCTGCTCAACGAAGGGATCGGAATCCCTGCTCATACAAGAGGTGTCAGAAGAAAGCAGTGCTCATCACAGCTGCATAGCATATCGTAACATGGCTCCGATGAATAAAAACGAAACGCAGACCCATTAGTTCTATCTACCCAGCACGCTGCAATCAAATTCACAACAAACCGGATTCATGACCCACGGCACGCAAGGCCGGAAGAACCGGACGACCGAGACGAGCAGCTCGCGACGAGCGGGAGGCGGCTGGGAGGAGCCGCCGCGCAGCGAAGGGCTAGGAGGGGGCTAGGGCGAGCGCGAGGGCTCGTGGCGTCGGCGGCGCGAGGCTTGAACCCTAGCGAGCCAGGTGAGCGCTGAGAGAAGAGCGCGGCCACGGCCGAGTTATAAAGACGAGGGTGTGGGATTGGGGCTGGGCTGTCTGGGCCGGGCCGATTTCAAAGCAAGTAGGAATGCAAGCCGTGGGCCTTCTGAAAAGCCTGGCCCAGTGGTTCTTTTCACTGCTTAGCCCGCCTAGCCAACAGCGTTGATGCCACTAAAAAAAAAGCCAACAGCGTTGACCGTATCCTCCTGCGGCTGCTGCAATGCAAGGCCATTCTAGATTTGCAGCACTAATCATCATAGCTTTAGCGCGGTTCACCTCGTCAAATCAAAGAGAAGAGGTATAAAAGCAATCAACCTGTTCGTTGGTTAGTTTCTGACAGATAAGTCCGGCTGGTGCTGATTTATTGTGAGAGAAAAACACTGTTAGCTGACTAATAAGCCCTGGCTGAAACCAACAAGCGAACATGCTGAATACCCGCTTTATATATAACCCTTCAACTCTGAATCTAATCTACTTGCAGATCAGTAAGGTCAACGTTCTAGAAGACGGCTAGATCAGGAATGGTTCCAATTCCAACCTTAAGCTTGTTCTATACTTTTTCTCTTCCTTTCTCTTTTTTTAATGACGAGGAGCGTCTTCGTTGTTAGAAGAGATCATCTTTAATCACACTCTTGCCCTGCTTCGAATATTCAACCTCAACTAACTGTTGGTGAAACAAAGCTGAGGTTTTCAACGAAGAAATTCAATTCATAGTACTCTAGTATGTCGCAAAACAACTCTTGACTCAGAACCGCGGTTTACAATATGAAAACACTTTTTTGAACAACGATTGGGAGTGAATTTCGCCAGAGAACAGAGAACGCCTTTGCAAAACACCTGGCATTCGTCACCAACAACACTAGTCAAATGCAGAAAGAACGCGTGTGCACACTGCAGACTGCACATGCCTGAAACCGAAACAGGCTGCTACGTGCGTGCGTACGCAAGCATCGGAGGAGAAGCTTCTCCTGATTTGATGCCAAATCGCCGATGCAAGCGGCGACAAGTCAGCTGCTCCAAGCAGACACCGTTTGACCCGGCCGACGATGATTAATCGTGGTCCCCGCTAGAATCTCAGAACGATGAACAGTAACTTATCCAAGAGATAAAGCAGGTCGCTTTCGCTAACCAGCACGGTCGCGGAACTAGTATATATAGTAATATAATCACACATGGATGATGACGGAGTATATTATTGTATCCGAAGGCCGACGACGAATTCAGATTCAACAATGGCGCCCAATTCTTTTTTTGTTTTTTCCGGTTTTTGTATTCACAAGATCGATCGGAATGCATGGCGAAAGAACAGGTGATGAAGAAACAAATTGGATGGAATTAATTACAATTAATTAATTAAAAAGGAGTGCTATTTCTGAATGAAAGAATCTTTTTTCTTCGGAGATCAGCTTGGTGGTGATCGCCGGCGGCGGGTAGCTAAGTTAATTAAGCTAATAGGGATGGTTCGAGCGGGCGAAGAAGCCGACGATGGCGGGGCGGTAGGGGAGGTATGACTGCTGCTGGTGCTGCCTGGGCCTGTCGCCGGCGAGTGCGGCGGCGCCCGGCTTGCCGTAGAAGAGCCTGTGCGCGGTGGCCATGTCCATCTCGGTGGCACCTGCCGCCTTGCCACCCTTCTGCTTCTTGCCCTGCTTCCGGACAGACGGCTTCGACGGCGCCGCGGGGTTGGAGTTGGAACTGGGTTGCAGGAAGACGAACTTCTCCTTGCCGTCGCTATGGGAGCGTCCGCCGCCGCCGGAAACGAGGTCCCGCAGGCGACAGAAGCGGCGGGCCTCACCGGTGGAGGCGGACTTGGGGAACGGCGGGTCCCGCTCCCGCGACGGCGACCCTGGCGCGGACCGCGGCGCCCACGCGCAGTACGTGTCCGGCGACGGCGGGGCCGTGGACGCCTGCTGCTGCGGGTGGTGGTGGTCGGGCGACGACTCGTCGTGGAGGAGGTGGCGATCGAAGAGCGGGTACGCCGGGACGATGCGGCCGTGCGCGAAGAGGTCGTCGGCCGGCGCGAGCGCGGGGTAGGCGCCGGCGCGCGGCGACAGCGGCGGCGCGAACGCGAACTCGAAGCCGGCGTCCTCGGCGTCGGAGAAGGCGAGCGTGGCGGACTCGGCGGACACGGTGGGCGAGGCCGGGGCGTCGCTGAAGCTGAGCACGGAGTCGAGGCGCGGGGCCGGGGGAGGTGGCGCGGCCGCCATTGCGGACATGGGCCGGTGAGGGCGTGAGGCTGCGTGCGCTGGGTGCAAGTGGAGGCGGAGCTACTCCTCGGCTGGGGTGGTGGTCTGGTCTGTGGTCTCTGGTGGTGCCGTGGTGGTGGTGGTGGTGGTGGGATGAGACGGTTGGGCGGCGGCGTTTATATAATGGGAGGGAATGCGCGTGAGACGAATGGGGGTGAGGCGACGGATCGGGTGACGCGGGGGAGGGAAAAGGGAGTGGGCCGCAAGCAAAAACGGAACGGAAAGAAGCTAGCTGGTAGCTGCCCGCAACTCATGAGCCGGTAGAGGTAGATTCGTGGTGGTGTGGCATACAGTAGTGTGCGTGGGGAAGGAAGACGAAAGAGATTTGACGGCGACGTGGACACGGTGACATCCGTCCGAGAACGGCCGGACGGGGACGGTTGCTTGGACGGCAAGGAGAAGCAGCCACGGTGGCATGTACGAGTGGGAACGCGGAAAGGCCCTCTCCCGTTCCGTGCGTGCGCAATGTTCCGCTCATTTCCGCTGGGTTCTTATGATCCGTATTTTTTCAGGAAGTGTATTCTTCTCTTACAATAAATCAGCCAACATAATATTTTTCAATTTATCTTTTCAGCAAAACGACGTCTGTATAACAATGCGGACCCGTTTCCTCGGGGTCTTCCGGTCCGCCTCCGCGGCATTGCTTCGTGTAAGGCAAGGCTGCCCAACTCGCCTGCTGCATCTCAACGGTTTCCTTTGGTTTGGCAGGCACTCCCCGGCTCCGCGTGTTTTTTCCGGTCTCGTTTCCCCCCACGTGCGCCGCAGCACCCAGGCTTCACGTGTGTGTCATGTGTGACACTCCGCGCGGAAAAATCGTGATGGTGAGAATAAAATCACCATTTCATTAACAGCAAATTTGCTCGTAGACATCTTTTCGTTGTGGTATTTGTCGACGGACATCGTTCGATGTTATCTTGTTCCACAAGTCTTATACTCTGTACATACTGTTAGAAGGCTCGATACAATATACACTTTTTTTCACACATCCTACATATTATGCGCAATCTTTTCTACTTTTATAAGAAGCTTATATATAGCTTAGAGCAACTCCAACAAATGTGCTATTCTTATTATCTAAGCTATTTTTAAAGCAAAAATAAGGTTTAACAGGTGTGCTATCTGGTTTTCTAAACTAGCAGATGGGCTATCCCTGACTCTTGCTCGCCATAGATAGCACGCCGTGCTCGCTGGCTATCCCATCCCGCGCGCGAATTTCTGCTCGCCGCCCTCCCCTTTCCGCACGTTGCAGTACGACCCTCAGCAGCTGCGTGGCCACCGGGCAGGGGCTGGATGCTACTACAGCAAGCCAGCGAGCACCTGCGTGGCCAATGGCTACGGGACGGGCGGTGGTGGCCAACGGACAGGCATTGCTGGTGGCCAGGTGACGGGCATGCTGGCCAGGGCCCAGGGTACAAGCAAGTAGCAGTACGTCGTTGGCTAAGACCGACGACGGCCGGTGCAGCCGCACGCGCTGCTTCCTGGCCGGTGCAGCCGCACGTGCGGCGAGCCTTGAAGCCCTACCCGGCCGTGCGTCTCCAGGCAAAGGATAAAAGGTCGCGATCAGATCTTCAACGAAAAATCATATGACGTATCACGTTTAAAAATAGACAAGTGGAAATATACGAAGGCTGTCGTGGAACTCTACTTTTTGAGTGAGTTTTCTATTTTACTCAATGACTAAATTTTGTAATTTAGCATATAATTTTACCTAGTCTCTTAGAGATGCTATTATATTAAGTTAAATATTTTGGTTTTCCTTCATAAGCGTGATCAATGATTGTGGTCCAAAGTTTGGAATCTACTCCCTTCGTCTCAAAAAAAAATATAATTCTAGCATTCAAATCTTGTCTCAAAAAACATGTAATTGTAGAGTTAGAGATCATCTTTTTCAACGAGACCCACCAATTAAAAATATTCTTAGATGACTAAAAACTATTCATCCTGTTCGACTGGTACACAAAATTACTGTGTACTAATTTGTTCCGGCTGATTTTGGTTGATTCAATAGTGTTATGTGAGAGAGAATAAGCTGAAACAAGCTAAGCCGAACACGCTAATTATCTATGAGAAAAATATTTCAGAAGACAACCACTTTAAAATAACAGAGGAAAGACAAATGCTTAATTTTATACTTACACTAACCTGGACTCGAAAAACGAGGGAGTATAAACGCGTGTGCATTTCACTGTTCATCCAGCTGCCTCTCCCACCCATTTCCCTGTAGATCTACAGTCTGTACGCCGTCCGTCCCATTTGGTCTTCAACCGTTGGATGCCCCCCACGTCCTTAGCGTCCCGGAGGCTCCAGATCCTTCTCGCTTCCGGCCGAAAAAGAAACCCGGCCCCTCAGTCATCAACTTCCGCTCGCCGCCCACGCCGCCTCTCGCGCTCCTCCTTCCCTCCTCACGTCGCCCTCCCACCCCACGTCGCCCTTGGTGGCCGCCTCCCGGCACGGCGCGGGGCGGCCGAGGTCCGCCGGTGGCCGCTGACGCGACGCGGCGCAGCCGCACGAGCAAGCCCCGGCGGTGGCCGCCTCCTGCCTTCGCCTCTCTCCTTCACTCTCCTCACGCGCGTGGATGCTCACGCTTCGCCATGTACGTCTCCACCATCGATGCGCGCCTCCCGCGATGCCCCGCGGCCATGGGACGGCATGCCGGCGCCGCCGCGGAACGAGGCGCAACGGCTCGGCCACAGCCGGCGTGCTAGCCTGGGCGCGGGCCGCCACGGCGCGGCTGCACCAGCACGGGGACCAGCCCCGGTACAGCCAGCCCCTCCCGGCACCGCGGTGTGCGGGTGGGCAGGCCCAGGCGATGGCCGCCTCCTACGACGGCGCGGGGTGCACGTAGCTGCGCCGCCACCTCGCCATGCCCTACGGCTGGCCCATGGCAGGGCAGGCAGGCTACAGGCACTGCCGCGGAACGAGGCGCAACGGCTCGGCCACAGCCGGCGTGCTAGCCTGGGCGCGGGCCGCCACGGCGCGGCTGCACCAGCACGGGGACCAACCCCGGTACAGCCAGCCCCTCCCGGCACCGCGGTGTGCGGGTGGGCAGGCCCAGGCGATGGCCGCCTCCTACGACGGCGCGGGGTGCACGTAGCTGCGCCGCCACCCCGCCATGCCCTACGGCTGGCCCATGGCAGGGCAGGCAGGCTACATATGTGTTGTGCCATCAGCTTCCTTGCCATTCCCATCACGTTTTGTTTTGGTCATCCATGGTGTTGCAGCTGCCCTGATCTACTTCCTTGCGATTTCTATCGAATTTTGTTTTGAGCAGCCATGGTATTGCAGCTGCCCTGAAGTCCATCACAGCGAACAGTTTCGTCCTGATGGGCGGCTGAATCACAAGGAACTACAACAGGTTGGTCGACATACCAAAACTGCTTTATTTAGGTAATGTGTGCCGACTCTTCGATCTGATTAAAGTTTTTTTCCCCTGTTTTAGGCTGACTAAACATGCTCAGGTTTGGAACAACCAGGCCTTCCCATCATTTTCCCTCCTGCAGGTTGTATAATCTTCTACAAATGCTTACATGCTCGATATTTCAGGTACAGATCCTCAACATAAGGGATTTCATAGGCAATATAACCTATTTCTGCTCAAATCTGTAACTGTCCTTGGCCGATTGTTCTTCAAAAATACTGTCTCCATTGCCCTTTCTTACCACTAGCGATATTATACCATCTTGCTCTATGCAGGTGTAGTTGTGACTGCATCACTATATGCTAGATTTCCAGTATTGATTACAACTAATGTATGAGCTTTAGGATTCCTGTCGTATTTACTTTCTGTGACCCTATCATGTGATTGCCTATATTGCTGATTCAAACTGCTTGATCCTTCTTATTATGACCACAGAACTATCGCAACATGCACATCTCTGCTATGCTTACCTCCTGGATGCGCACCTGTTTTACTAGGTACATATTAAGCGCCCTAATTGGCTAATCGCCATCGTGAAACTTATCCTTTACCTACATTAGAATTTATAATCATGAATGTACTCTACAGCTTTTTATAGAAGTGGAACTACATCTTGGTGGTATCCATTACTATGTCTCCTAGATCAATTGGCGATTTCTTACTTATCTTTGCAACACCTGCTAAAATTAAGGTGGGAGGACCTCAGTGCTGCAGAGCGGAATGAGCTTGCTAATTTTGACAATTAATTTGATATCGGCTGTTGCTGGCCCTCATGAGATGTGGCCCTTGAGGAGTCAAACAACTGCTTTAGTAGCAGAGGTTTAACACTGCACTTTGTTCTTTTCATTTTTAGTTTGTGAAATTCGCTAGGTGTAGGCAGTTACAACTTCAAGTACTCTACCGTAACAAGTACCTTCTCTTTGTAGGTAGTTCGAAGGGAGGGAGTTGATCAGTGAAATACTCTGCTCCCATATATTATTTCTCTCTCTAACAGTGGCCCTATTGAGCTCAAGTTTCCCATCAGCCTTCCAGGTTTAGATCTGTTCTACCATCTGATAAGGTAATTTACTTTTGTTTTAATTTATTACCTGTGTTGAGGACTCCACACTAGATTCGTTGTCCGATTTCAAGTTCAAACCATAGTTGTATTTACTTGTTGTTAATGGCCTTGTTCGCTTGTCTTATGAGCCGTACTATGTCAGCGAACGAACAATGCTTTTCTCTCACAACAAATCAGCGAACGGTACTTTCAGCTATGACTTTTCAGTAAAGCGAACAGGGCACTAAAACCAGCAACTGCATGGTCCGTGTGAATTGGTACATTTCCTTGAAAACCTAAAATTTATGTTCAACTGTTTCACAGCATCGCTCGCCATGGACACACGAGTTGTCCACCAAACACTGGGCCGGGGATTCAAAACTACAATGTTGGCACCAAATAAATCAATGAGTAAATGATATCTGATGATTCAGAGTTTTTCTTTCAGCTACTAATAATGCATACAAATATTCATAGACAATTATTTGCTGATGTTGTATTCAG